TGTATATAGCAAAAAATATCTATTATCTATTATGGCTTTGATCGAAGTGAAACTACGAAATATTACAATAAAACCTATTTTAAAAGACAGTAACTAAGTACAAACAGATCAAATAACTCAAATATATTCTCATACATAGTAAATATTGTTTGTCAACAGTGATTTATTTACTTTATTCTTAGTCATTTAATTATAATCAAAATAGACATTCTTTTATTGACAAAAAAAGTCAGTGCTTGTAACAGTGATGACATTGAATACGAAGTATAAAAAATAATGGAATAAGCTTCTTTAAATGAAAACTAATCAAATAATATCTCTAAATTTAGTAATAAAAATAATAGATCGTCAATGAAGATATTCCTTGTCACACTAAACTAGCTGCTATCTATATCAAATAAATAGATTTCAAAATTTATCAGATTTATTTCACACATGTTAGTGTCCAAGCTTCTTTATATAGACTTAATTGGATAATCTGTTAGTATTTTTATAGTATTATATAACCCATACTATCCTCTAGGAAATATTCCAGTATGATGATATAATAATATGAATCCGCTTCAGAAGAAGTGATCAAACAAGAAATCTTTCAACGTGAATTTTACGTCAAAGTACTATAATAGATCAAAAATCAAACTATTAGTCAGCAATATATCAGTTTTTGATGTTATTATGGAAAGAAAACAAGAATTTATTGACTAATATAGACTCTCTTAGATAGACAAACGCAGTTTATAGATATCAATGGTATCATAAACTTTGAGATTTTACTTTCCATACCTAGTCTTGAACACGTAGACGTTTTTATTTGTTTTCTTAGCTCTGTGAAATTGAAAGTATTGTGGCGAAACATAATTTCTCCGAAGATATATTGACAATCAGTCGAATGCGTGTTGCTATGACTTATTTACATGCAGATTTGTTGAAAGCACTCATTGAACAAGTGGAAAAGGTATGTCAAACACAAATAGATAACAAAAATTCTCTCGTTCTTGTCACATAGGTTTGCACAAGTACTAAATGGCAGGCACGTCGAGCAGCTATTGAGTTTGTTCAAAATTTGATCTTTTACAATCTATTCAATGCTCGTCCATATGCTAAATGCTTGAATGAACTTTTACGTAGATGCCTATTCGATGAATACTTGGAAGTGCGAACAATCGCATCAATGACTTTATCAGGTTTCTATCAATGTGGCTACATTGAATTGACTCGTGAAGATCTGGTAGGATGGCTATTTTTTCTGTTGTTAATACAATTTTTAACTTCTTTTTGGTTTCAGAAATACTTTAATATTATGAGCAAGACTCATTACTTTACGAAAATCGATGGCAAGAAAGTGACATCAACTGAGAATCTTGTCAAACGACATGGTGGTCAGTATATGTTCTACCAATGAATCCAAATAAGTTTAAGCATCAACTAACATATACGCAGTAGATTTTTGATGGAAGGACTGGTTTTTTTTCATACAAAACTATTTTTCGGACTCTAAATGCATCTCAATCTCAAATAACGATTTCGTTCAGACATATTCTTAATTTATTATATACATATCTAGGATCTAGGCTGTATTGATTTTTTTTTACCAAAATAGACGTGGAATAAAACGTTGTGAAAAATTTTTAAATTCGACTTCCTAGCAGGAAACCTATTTCATTTTGAAATCTATCTAGTATGGATTAATTAATCATTATTTCATGCTAAAAAACCCAAATATCGAATATTCTAGTTACTAGGAAAGTTTGAACTCATATGCTTGACTAATTTTGCTAATAATACTATTTCTGATTATCACTGTAGGTGTTTTGGGTCTCTGTGCTATTGTTCTTTCAAGTCCATATGATATTTCAAAAAATGTACCAGAAGCATTGATACTTCTCTGTGAACATTCACAGGATCCTGATCCAATACAGGTGTGTTACATTTAGATTATTACTATGTGAACATACTCAATATCATTTTTTTCAGATGTCAATAAAGAAATGTTTGTCTGAATTCCGTCACACACATTACAATTCATGGCATGAACATCAGGAAAAGTTCACAACAGATCAACTTGTGACTTTGGCCGATGCATTTATTTCCCATAATTATTATGTTTAATAGTGAAATGACCTAGTGACTAATGAATATGAGCTTTATGCTGTATCTTTCTAATATAGTTCTGACAACTAAATTCATTAACATTAGGAATGAATAAAATAACACGCTCTTTGTTAGCGATCATCTTTTTTATAAATTCAAATGCACTCATTCATAACGATATATGAGAAAGAAAAGAGGTCTCTGTCAAATGAATGATTGAGAGAAATTTGATTCGATTCGATTTGCTTTCGCTCTCTGGTTTACACCACTAATATATGTTTCTTTTTTCTTTCCTTTCAGCTGTTTACTCTGACGAATAAAGAACATGTGCATATACATGTATTCACTACATTTTTACTTCATTTTCAACGTTATCATCATTATGTTTCTTTTACCAATAATACTTGTCGCCATATTGCTCTTACTTTTTTTTATCTGTATAAAAATCGTATATTTTACATAGCGCGGACCGATACCAGGACTTCCACCTCAACTTTTCTTTGGCAATCTTCGTCAATCCGGTCTTTTACAAGGTTGAGAAACTTTGTCCAATATCTATAGGTCATTCAAAGCTCGATACGGTGATATATTTCAATTTTGGCTAGGTTTTACACGAATTATTATTCTCGGAAATATTGATGATATTCAACATGTATATAATCATCGGCATATTTATTATGTGGGAACCATATTTTCAGAAAAAATGGCCTTGCTCTTTCCAGATGCACTTCTTCCTAGTACAGATTAGTGCTACTCGACTATAAAGAATGTTTCATAATAACTGAGGATGAATTATGAACGATATTAAACGTAATTTTTCTTTCTGTACAAGGTTGATATTGTTATCACGTATATATCTATAGAATATCTTTCGTTGACTAAAATTTCAACTTTACATCTCTAACTAATACAAAGATACACAAAAAAATCAAATTATATGAATTCTTGAACATAATTGTTTTTTTTTATAAACTTTATTCCTCATGAGGGAATTTTTCAAGGTGTAATCTCAGGTTTGATATGAGACTATATGTATGCATGAGATCTTCATGAGCAATGATCTACCACCTTAGAAAGATAGCTGCCCATAATTTGTTTCTGGTAAGATATTGCATTTTTAGTGATTTTTTCCAGCAGGACAACAGTTTTTTACAAAATCATATTTTCAAAATTTTGATATGAAAGTCAATTCGTATTTCTGAAACATTTTATTGAAAAAGGGTGTGGGTGTGGATGGGTGTGGGTGTGTGGGTGTGGGTGTGTGGGTGTGGGTGTGGGTGGGTGTGGGTGTGGGTGTGGGTGTGGGTGGGTGTGAGTGCGGGTGGGTGTGGGTGTGGGTGTGGGCGTGGGTGTGGGTATTTTCATCATTCACACCCACATCCACCCTCACATCCATCCTCACACCCACACCCACACCCACACCCACACACCCCACACCCACACCCACACACCCCACACCCACACACCCACACCCACACACCCACACCCACCCTTGTTACAACTTTACTATTTGTTTTTGTTTTTCATAAATCAGATACTAACTTAAACTTTTTTTTAAATCAATTTTTCCTATAATATTAAAGACCGATTTTTGACAGGATCATTTAGTGTCACAATAATCTTTGTACCATGTCTGGAATAAAATCAAATTGTTCTTTATATATCATCTTTTAAGAAAATCAAATTGTTAAAGCTCAGGCGTTTGATGAAAAATGGTTGGCTTTCAATAATAATGGATATGAACTTTTTTTTCGAAAGCAAATCTATCGTATAGTGGCACCTTCATTATTGATTTCTTTTATTTATATTAATATTATTAAACTAATTTAATGTATTTAGAATAAGATGTGTTTATTTTTAATTGTATTCATATCGGTAACATAGTTGTGAATAACGGTGGTTCCATTCTTGTAATTCGATTGGCTTGACCGGAAGATATTTCTCAAGATTGAACATAACATTGACATCATTGATAGACATTGTTCACTATTTCACAGAGTAAAAAAAGTCGACAAGCTATTCTTGAAGAATATCAAGATAATTCTTTCTTGATAAGATATTGCTTTATTTTCTAATTTAATAACTTTTGAAAGTTTTATTCATCTCTAGAAAAAACTAATTGTTTGATAAAAATTATTGATTGATTTATTTTCTAGAATACAAAAGGGAATTTGATTATTTACAATGTCTGAAAGTCGTTCCACATCGAAGAGTCATGTTTCGTTTAATCAAAAGGTTATTAAAAAAAGAATTCATGTGTTATTTCCAGATGATCCATCAGTAAATAATCCTGATTATATTCAATTACATAATCGTTTACAATCCTGATTGTCAACGACAAATATTTCCAATATGAATGAAAAAGATCTTCAATTAGATTTTTATCAAAATTGTATGAAGAAATATGATAAACATATTGATAATAGATTGAAATATGCTGATGGTTCCAAAGGAACTATTTATAAGGGCGGGTGTGGGTGTGCGAGTGGATACGTGTTGGCATCATGTTAATATTCACCCCCACACCCGCACCCACTCACCCACACTCACACCCATCCATCCACACGCACTCACACCCACACTCTAAATTTTCTTTTAACTCATCATATTCACAGTGAATGATTAAAATAGATCGTATAATGAATCAAGATACAATAAACACTTTTGAAATAAGAGAACAAACATTCGAGATAAGAAGTCCTTGAAGTCGATAACAACTAGCCAAACAAAAACGAAAGTGTCAACATAAAAAGAAGAAAAAAGCAAAACATTTTTTAGAGACAGAGACGAAGTGTCTTTTATTTTTGTTGGTTCGTACTATTTGCAACAAGTATTTATGTTTTCATTTATTTACATAAATTAAAAAAAACGAAAACGTCGTTACCATCACCATTCTCATTACTGTTATAATGGACAATAAAAATCTAAAACAAGATGCTAGTGACTCATCATCATCATCTGCCGCAAGTAAGCCAAATAAATCATCTTCAGTAGCAGCAGAAGCAACAACAGCGGTAAACAGAAGTGCCACACTGCCAGAACCCGTTCGTCGGGTTATACAAAATTTTCTCCTAGTCTGGTTGGATGCAAATATTGATGAGACGAAAGAAGATTTCAAAAATTCATTACAACATCTTCGAAAACTTGTGGCATCCATCACAACGTTTAAGGATCCTCAACAATGTGTTAATTTCTTTAGTGAAATTAAAAAAGAAAAGATATTTTTGATTGTATCTGGTGCATTAGGACGACAAATAGTACCAGAAATTCAAACAATGCCACAGTTAGAAACAATATATGTTTTCTGTGACAATGAATCATATCATGAAGAATGGACTAAAACTGTATCAAAGGTCAAAGGAGTATATACTGATATTAAATCAATTTGGCAAGCACTAGAAATCGATCGAGAACGATGCGATCGAGCTATGATCTCAATTAGCTTTAATGGTCTCGATCCTCTGTTCATGTATACACAATTACTAAAAGAAACACTTTTAGAAATCGAAGATGATTATAGACAATCCATCAAAGATCTGGCTGAATATTGTCGTGAACAGGATGATATTCCTGAAGATCAAATTAAACAAATCGAAAATGAATATCATAATCATACACCAATATGGTGGTATACAGCTGAAACATTTATTTATCCAATGCTTAATCGTGGACTTCGACAAATGGATGTCAATATAATACTTAAGATGGGTTTCTTCATTCGTCATCTACATAATCATATCGCAGAACTCCATCGCGAACAACAGGACAGCATGCCAATAAAATTTCAAGTCTTTCGTGGACAAGGTTTGTCCAATGAAGACTTTGAAAAGATGAAAAAAACCAAAGGAAATCTTATGTCCTTCAATAATTTCCTGTTGACAAGTCGTGATCGTAAGATTTCGCTAGAAAACTTTGCACGACCAGCCACACGTAATCCCACTTCAGTTGGTATCCTCCTTGTTATGACGATTGATCCGGCTATGTGCACAACATTATCGACATCATTTGCCGAAGTAAGCAAAGTAGGCTACTACAAAGATCAAGAGGAACAAATACTTTTTTCGACACATACAATTTTTCGTATCGATCGCATAGAACGCATCGAAGACAAACATACTGATCGCTTATGGCAAGTTAACCTCACTCTTGAAGGTAATCAAGACGATGATTTTAATAAACTTACGGCACGACTGCGAGAAGAGTTCAGATGGAGTACAGGATGGTCTCGATTGGGCGATATACTTATTCATCTAGGAGAGTTCGCAAAAGCAGAACATCTCTGTAAGACACTCATCGAAAAGGCATCTACTGATAAAGAGCGATCGAATTATTATCATCAGCTTGGTAGAGTGTATACAGACATGGGCGAGTACTCGAAAGCACTTTCATCGTATGAACAATCACTTGAAATCCGGAAAACAGTTCTCCCTCCGAATCATCCCGACTTGGCTATTTCCTACAACAACATCGGTTTAATATATGATAACATGGGCGAGTACTCAAAGGCACTTTCATCGTACGAACGATCACTTGAAATCCGAAAAAAAGCTCTCCCTCCGACTCATCCCGACTTGGCTACTTCATACAACAACATCGGTATCGTATATAAAAACATGGGCGAGTACTCCAAAGCACTTTCATCATACGAGCGAGCACTTGAAATCCAAAGAATAGTTCTTCCTCCGAATCACCCCGCCTTGGCTGCTTCATACAACAACATCGGTATCGTGTATAATAGCATGGGCAAGTATTCGAAAGCACTTTCATTGTACAAACGATCACTTGAAATAAAGAAAATAGCTCTCTCTCAGAATCATCTGGACTTGGCTCCTTCCTACAACAACATCGGTGTGGTGTATCAAAACATGGGCGAATACTCGAAAGCGCTTTCATCGTATGAACGATCACTTGAAATAAAAAAAATAGCTCTTCCTTCGAATCATCCCGACTTAGCTACTTCCTACAACAACATTGGTATGGTGTATGGTAAAATGGGCGACTACTCAAAAGCACTTTCATCGTACGAGCGATCACTTGAAATTCGGAAAATATTTCTTCCTTCGAACCATCCTGGCTTGGCTACTTCATACAACCACATTGGTTTGATATATGATAACATGGGCGAGTACTCGAAAGCACTTTCATCGTACGAACGATCACTTGAAATCCGGAAAATAGTTCTCCCTTCGAATCATCCCGACTTGGCTACTTCCTACAACAGCATTGGTAATGTGTATCAAAACATTGGCGACTACTCAAAAGCACTTTCATCGTATGAACAATCACTTGAAATTCGGAAAATAGCTCTGCCTCCAAATCATCCCGACTTGGCTACTTCCTACAATAACATTGGTATTGTGTATAAAAACATGGGCGAGTACTCGAAAGCACTTTCATCGTATGAACGATCACTTGAAATCCGAAAAATAGTTCTCCCTCTCAATCATCCCGACTTGGCTGCTTCATACAACAACATTGGTATCGTGTATGATAGCATGGGTCTGTACTCGAAATCACTTTCATCGTACGAACGATCACTTGGAATCCAGAAAATAACTCTCCCTCCGAATCATCCCGACTTGGCTGCTTCCTACAACAACATCGGTGCGGTGTATAATAGCATGGGTGAATACTCGAAAGCACTCTCATATTACGAAAAAGATCTCGAGATCAGCCTGAAAGCTCTCCCTCCAAATCATCGGTCGTTGGCTGCTTCCTACAACAACATTGGTGCGGTGAATGATAACATGGGCGAGTACTCAAAGGCACTTTCATCGTACGAACGATCTCTTGAAATCCAAAAAGTAGCCCTCCCTCCGAATCATCCAGACTTGGCTGCTTCCTACAACAACATTGGTATTGTGTATAAAAACATGGGCGAGTATTCGCAAGCACTTCGATATTACGAAGAAGCCGAAGAGACATGGAAAAAATCACTGCCACCAAATCATCCGCATATTGCACTTGTGAAAAATAACATTGAGATTGTGAAAAACAAAATGTAATTCGTTTTTTCTTAAACCAAAAATAATAAATTGACCTTCTTAAGTACTTAGCTCGCCGAAGCGCACCAGCTGCAAAATTTTGCACACGTGCGACCAGGAATACTCTCTGTATCCTGCTGGTTCTTACAGTGGACAAACCAGCAATGGTCAGAAAAACATACATGTATGACAAGTACATATATGATCATTGTCTCTGAAAGAGACGATGACGAGATAGACGCTTCTATTCATACATACATAGATTTATGTTATGAAAGTCTAGCATTTGCACGCATGTACGGGTTACCAAACATAACGTCGGATATCTCTGGGAAGGTTAGTTTGATTTAGAATCATCCTCCAAAGCTCTATTTGTTTACAAATGTTTGTTTTTCTGTTACGAAGAACGAGAAGAAGAAGAAACAGAAATGGAAGGAAGAAAAGGTAAAAGAGAAATTGATATGAACTACTGCTTGTGGCCATAATGACATGTTCAACAATTTTATTTTTCGATTTTTCACTAAATATCAAGCGGCTGCAACTAAAATCTACAAAAGATTGATAAATTCTTGTCAAATAGAAATTCCAATTGATATCATTTCAAAACTATTTTAAGAAAAATTAGTATTAAATTATTTGAAAATTATTTATTCATGATAAAATTAATCCCCATATGAATAAATATTCTAATAAATAATATAAATATAGCTTTAGTTTGAAATAGAATAAGAATATTAAAATCTAATTCATATAAAAAAGAAGAATAAAACAAAATTGATTAAAAATAAATAACAGAAATAGAATATTTTCATAAGTTCTTTATCAATATTAATCAAATTGGATGTAAAGCAAAATAATATCTTAAATTTAAAAACAACACACTACTGGACGTGACTTTGTTTTCCATTAAAAATTTTTAATTCGAAATGAAAGTTAAAACCTTTATTAAAAGAAGTTATCCAGTACAAATTAATAATTTATTGTTAAGGGTGCTTATGAGAACACTCAAAACAATTATTGTTATCGATCTATATACCAATTTTCAAACATTTTACGAGTGAAAGAAAGCTAAGTTGACAGTGTTGCAATATTATAAACGAAAACGAATATAGCAAGTGCAATAGAATTATAGTCTATTGTATTTGAATGATGTTACTTATGTCATACTGTGTAAAATAAATGGCCATGACAATATATTCTCGTAGAATTCTGTGAAGAATATACGCACTCTACGTATGCAATACTATTACTACAAAACTTGAACAATACTTTAATACAATTGAAGTAATATTTAATGGTCCATAATTTCAATAGTTTCTGCTTACCTGTCGGTTGAAAATGAATGAACACTATAAGTCACTTGTCTAAATGCAACAAATACAGTGCATTTGTACACATTTAAGTACTTTGGAAAGTATTAAAATCATTTCATGTACTGTTAATTTAAAAAATGTCATACATAGCTTTCGAACATTTAAAAAGTGCTAAAATGAATTTAAGACATGCTAAGACGTGCTAATAAGTGAAATCATTTTAATTA